ACGGTGTGGTGTGTGGAGACGAGTATGAAGATCTATTGGATGTGTAACGGGGTTTAGGACTGGTGAGTTTGTCTTCTATGAGTTTGGCGAGGCCATAGGTTTGGTGAAGTGTAGTGGGGTGCTGGATGGCTATTTCAGTTTGGATGTCTTCACGGAGGCCTGAGATAAAATAATTACGGAGGGCTACCGGTGTTAGCCCATCAACACGGTTACTAAGCTTCTCGAACTCAGCTTGATAGGCTGCAACTGTGGTTGTCTGTTGTAGCTTGAAAAGGGTAGCTTGGTGATTTTCATACGATGATGGACCAAAGCAGAGTTCCAGTGCGTGACAAAATTTTGCCCACGTGGTTAGCAAGTGGTTGGTAGCAAGGTGTTTGTACCAACTTAACGCCTCTCCTGTGAAATAGAAAATAGCTAATGGAAGGCGTTGATTATGAGGCATATTATAATAATCAAAGTAATTGTTAGCTTGGAAGATCCAATCTAACGGGTTGGAGTCGTCGAAATTTGGCAAGATAATCTTTGGGGGTCGGGGTTGTTGAGGTGGTAGCGGGGGTGGGGGTGGAGGGGGTGGAGGCGGCGGAGGTGGCGGTGGGGGTGGGGGTGGGTTCTGAATTGTGAGGAGGTTGATTAGTTGGTCTAGTTTGGCATTGGTTGTAGTGGAGAGGTGAGTGATTTGGAGAATGTTCTCCTGTAGGAGAGCCAAGGGGTTGTCTTTTGGTTGGCTACTACTCTCTTCTTTAGGAGGCATGGGAACGGCTGGATGAAAGCACCAAATGATAGCAGCCTGTTAGAGAAGGCAAATCTCCCAAGAAAGAAACAGAGGATGGAGCAATTTTCTGAGTTTTTATATTCATACCAAAAGAAGGAAAATTACATCTGCTTAAATAAGCTGCTAACTATCTAGAAACTAGGAATGGGAAATGGTCAAAAGACCTTATGCATGCATCTAAACGTGGCCTAATACCTTGCAACTACAGCTGAAAATAAAGAAAGACTTAATCAACCAAGACTTCTTCTCATGTACTGCTTTAGTCCATTAACCTAGCAGGTTTTCGGGTGGTTCTCTTGGGCCTGTGTTGGACTCCTGTTGGTTTGTTGTTGTTTGGGCTTGCATCAAAATTTGACATGATATCTAATAACATTGTGTGTTATGAAAAGAGAGTAGCATTATATCCACATCCACATGTACCCAACGTGGATAAACTTAAGAAACAATCAAATCCATTATCATTGTCTAGTATAATATTACATTGAATAATTATTGTGGTTGTGATTTCGTTGCAAGTTTACCTTTTTATTGAACAATTCATTGTCTAGTATATTTTATCCCTTTGGAGATAAAATATTGGGATAATGACAAAAATGATCACCATGTGAAATTTCATAAATTGTCATCCTTTTTTTTTACTAGTAGCACAACTATTTCATAATGGCTCAATTGCAAATTTACCATTTTATTGATAGAAACTTATAAATAAATTACGAAATTGTGTCATTCTTTTGCAAGTATAAATAGTTTCACATTAAAATAAGTAGGGACCCTTCTTAAAGAATGTTGCAATTCAAACTAACCAATTGCAAACTAGGTGTTATGTTGTGCTACTTGTCAAAAAGATGGTGTATTTGTTAAATGTAATCAAATGTTGGTCATTTTTGTGATTATTCTTAAAATATAAGTTAAAGTTTAATTATATATGAATATTTTTTGTTTTTGTCTCTTCTTAGTGCACCACGGATGCAACCCAATTTAAAAGCAAAGACTTGATTGGCAGACGCATCAAAGTTTGGTGGCCTATGGACAAAGTGTAAGTTTCTTTTCAAATTTTTATACAAAGTTTCATGAAATTGTGATATTTTTTCCTACAAGAATTGTTATTGATGCATGAAAGTATAAATTAAAGGTTTTATGAGGGCTTCTTGAAGTCTTATGATCATGAAAATAACAAAGAGGTGGTGAGATGAGACTCCTTGTTTTTTAGTTAATTTATCACATTTGCCTTGTTACTCCATGGTCAAAATAGTTGACTTATTGATATGGTTTGATGTGCATATCTAACAATCTTATCATGTTTAAGGTATTATATGATGATGGCGATATTGAAGTCCTATGTTTGGATAAGGAAAGGTGGAAACTTGTAAAGAGTGGGCACAAACTTGCAGAGGTATGTTTCCTTGTGTTTATGTGTAGGTTTTTTTTGGTTGGATGGAATGGAATGAACCATTCCATTCCTTCCTTGATTTCATTCTACCATACACTACAATTGATTTCTGATGATGTTTCACTCCAACCCTTTATAGAGGAAGCTCAAGACATATAGTCCACACCCTAAAGAAGGGTAAGTCGCTATACTCATGGTATTTCAACTTGTAATAAAACAAATACTAATTTTATTTGTAGTTTATAACATACATTCATGGATTTCACATGCTCTTAAGTCTTAATCTTTTCACTTCTCTTTTCCAGAGCATCTAAGAAACTTAAGTCATCGGGTATCTTCAAGCAAACTAAGGAATCAACTAACATGTGAGTAGGATATAATGATATACTACATTTTCATTAATTTTTCTCTTTATAAAGTTTATTTATCAAAGTTTGTTATAATGGTAGACCACCATCATTTGTGGTAAGAGGAAAAAGAACCCCAAGACAGAATTTGAACCAAGGGCAAAAAGGGGTATCACAAAGAAGTGCATATTTGGAAATTCGCAGAAGCAAAGATCCTGATGCGCCCATGCCTGAGGCCATATCCTCTAAAATCAACTATTTGGGCGTAGTTGAAGGTATAACACGAATCCTCCATGTTTCTTGATTGTATATGGAATGAGGGTATTTTGGTCTTTTTGTAATATATGTCTCTTTACTTGTTTAGACAAGTTAGAAAAGTCAAGATCCAAGGAGAACTAAACAATAGGAGATGTAGATAGCAGCTCAAATGATTCCATGTCTAAAAAACAGGTTTGGTAAATATATCGAGTTTGTTTTAAAAAACAGGTTTGGTAAATATAAAAAATATATTTAAAAAAAACACCTATACCGACAACCTTTCGTCGGTATATGTTTTAGCCATTCAAACCGTTAGGACCCTTTTCAGACGACTTATCGTCAGTATAATCGAACCTTTACCGATGACGTATCGTCGGTAAAGGTATCATTTTTGCCGACGATTAGTCGTTGGCATAAATTTATATTAAAACCTTTTTTTCCCCTCGAAAGTCAATCCCGATGACTCTTTTCTAGACTACAAGTCGTCTGCATTGCTGAATCTGTACATACGACATCTATCCCGATGACTTTTTTTACTTTTGCCGACGGAGCTATTCCGACGACTTTGTACAGACGACAAGTCGTCGGTATAGCCTATGCCGACGACATGTTGTCGGTATAGGGATATAAAAAGTCGTCGGTATAGGCATCGCTCCTTGTAGTGTTATCTTGACAAACTCTCCTGAGGGTTGTGAACTCCCCATGGTACATGGTGAGCGTTGAAGGTGGCAAAGTAGGCAGCTGCACAAGGCTTATTTTTTCATTATATATTTTTATTTAAAAATAAAAAATTATAATAAAGATAATAACATTTTTTTTCTTATTAATCCTGGACCTTTAAAAATATTTAATTTTTCAAGATGAAGGTTTCACCAAATCACCTTATGATATAATTTGTCCCACCTCATCCACAATATCTTAAGTTTTGACAAAATAAAGGTCATGAGAAGATCCGACATGTATTAGCAACTATGTAGAGAAAATTTGTGTACATACATGATACATCGTTTATTATCCACCTCATTCATGAAAAAGCAAAGATATATTGTTACTACAAAATATCATCCTTCGATCCTAAAAGGAAATTCGCTATGACATTTTATCAAACAAAACATATACGATCTGAATACAATTTAAAGAGGAGAAAAAACCAACCATCAATATTTTTGCACTTTCACAAACAAATTTAATATGAAATCACTAAATCGTAATATCAACAACTCAATAAACATGGCCTTTAATTGGAAAAAAAAAAATCATTGAAGCGATTAAACACAATGTAAATTACATACATGCTCAAGAAAAAGTAAACACATTCAATTCAACTTAGTTGGGTATTGAAAATCAATACAAAAGTAAGCTGAGGAAAGAAAGTCAACCGAACAACAATTTTTTATTGAAATGGAATGAGGCCTTCCTTTCCTTCTTTCATTAAGCCATACCAAATGGAAGATGCTTTTGGGCAAAACCGAAAAGAGTATGCCTTTATTTTTTTTTCAGATACAACCTTATGTTGAAAAATTAAGAAATTTTTTTTAATTTAAGAGGTTATATCTGAAAAGAGACTACCTCTTAATTTTCAAAAATTAAGAGGTAAACAAACAACTCTAAGTAAATAATAGTTTAATTAATGAAAGTTTTATCAATTTGATTAAAAATAATAAATATGTTTCAAAAAATTAATAAAATGATATTTTGATTATATTACATAAATTACTTTTCATTATTTTTTTTGACAATTTAGTAAACCAAATTAAAACAAATTTCATTCCATGTTAGTTAAACGAATAACAAATTCCAAATCCTTCTAAGTTTTTTGAAAAATTCAATTATTTCCAAAAATGTTTTGCCAACAAAACTCCCGGAATGTTTAGGGTTAGGTATATGAGAAGTTTGAGTTTGTATTTCTTTAATTAAGAAATGATGTTAAAATATGAAAATCTCGAGTTTTATACTTTTAAAATTGTAGGGCCGATGGCCAAAAAATATGGAGTATCTAGGTAAGTTGTTTAATTTTTTACTAAATTTTAAATCAAGCTTATGATAAATAACTATATTTATCTTATTCTCTTTAGATAAATATAACAAAATTAAAATTCTTTAAAATATTTTTTTATTTAACCCGTTTAAATTTCAACAGGTTTCGGAAACGAACATCTAATCTTTGATTTGATACGCATTATCTCAAAATCGAACACCATTTCCCAAATCTTCCGACTTCCATTTCATACTCATGTCCGACCAAATACCCTTTCATATTCAAGAGGAAATCATCAAAAGGCTTCCTGTCAAACCATTGCTTCAGTTTAGATCGGTCTCAAAAGCATGGAAGTCTTTGATCGACAGCTCCGAGTTTATTGCTGCTCACAGTAGCCATCACACTCATCCGCAACATCTACTTGTAAGGTATCAAGATCGGATAAACTCTAAGAAACAATATGTTTCTTTTGTCGACGATGACACTTTCCTGAAACATAGGTTTGTTCTAACTCTTCCACTCTCCGTTCAAATACTTGTTCTTCCAAGACACGTCGGTAGCTCTCACGGCTTGTTGTGTTTGTACGATAGTTATCTGGCTGTTGTATGGAACCCTTCGATTAGAAAATCGATTGCAGTTCATGTGCCTAATGAGAAGTGCGTGCACCACGAAACGGTTGTTGGTTTTGGTGTTTGTCCAGTCACTATTGATCCTAAGATCATCAAGATTACACAATTTAGTTCGTGGTACTGGAACGAAACGGAAATGAACCACCCTTTGAAGGTTGAAGTTTTTATACGATGAGTTCTGGGAAATGGAAAAGTCTATCTCTATCTAGCAATTTGCCGAGTAAGTCGTTTCGAGTTAGAGGGTCTCAGGTAGTTATTGATAGGTTTATCTACTGGTGTGCTTTGGGCAAGGTGTCCATAAATCGTATGTTATGCACACGTAATGTGATTATGTCTTTTAATATGAGTAATGAGAATATGGGAGTGGTAGACCTCCCAGAATATTTAGCTTCAGCCTACCCGTTCAACACATGGTTGTCCATTTATAAGCTAAGGGAGTCTCTTGCCTTGGTTGAATATAGTAGCGGGGTTTGTGTTGTATGGGTGATGGAATCTGGTGTTGTAAATAATTTTACAAGGCTATACACCATTAGGGCATCACATGGGCCAAAAATGATATTGGGATTTAGAGAAAGTGGCAAACCTATAATGGAAGTGAAAGATCATCTTATTGGACGTGGTACACTTGTTGTCTATGATCCAAACTTAGAAAAATTCAATGACCTTGAGATTTGTGGAACAGGTGATTTTTTGTTTGTGAATTCATACATGGAAACTCTACTTTTGCATGATCGGTCGGATTGTAGTAGCAATTGAAGTTGTGGACCATGTTTGCTTGTTTCTAACATTAAAGAGATGATAAATCTCACATTTTTGGGAAAAATATGCACAAATAGTTTATTGGCAGTCAGTTAGCACTACAAAAATACTAACCTTTAGCGGCGACGAAATTCGTCGCAGTTGATCATCTCTGCCGTCGCTAATGCTATTAGCGACGACATATCGTCGCTAATGCGTAGCCGCAGTTGGTTCGTAGCTAATAGCCCATGTCGTCTCTAATACTGTGGTCGCTAATAACTGTCGTCTCTAATACACTGATGTCGTCTCAAATAGTGTCGTCCCTATTAATATTCCGGCAACCGGTAGGATTTTTCCGGCGATACTCTCTGGAGGCCATGTCATCACAATTGACAGTAGTCGTCTCTAAAGGCGTCGCTGCTAGTAACCTCAAGGGGTTTGTCTTATGGGTAAGTAAATGACTTTTTCTGTTGGATTCTAAAAGAAATAGTTATTGCAAGTTAATAAGCATTTAGAATGATGATATTTTGGTATTTGGGTTGGAAATGAAATTAGAATTCAGTAGACATGTTCTTCATGAAAATAAAGATACTAGAAGACAACTTACTCTAATGGCCTGCATTGTTTTGTGATAAAAAACCCTTATAATTTGGGATTTTTTTCACATAAAATCTCGACTTTTTATTTTCTTTTTCCAAAAAAATCCTCAACCTTTTTTCTCCTGAAAGAATCTTCAACTTTTTTTTTAGAAAAGAAACCCTTCCATTTGAGGAGGAGTTTTTTTTTTTTTTTGGAAAAATGTGATTAAATGGTCAAATCGAAAATTTTGAAAAATACAAGGTCTTTTTTAGAAGAAAAGATGAAGTTGACTTTAATCCGATAAAAAAAAGGATATATAGTGTTCACTTTTGAAGGTTTTAACTCTTCCTTCGGTTTCGGAGTTACACAATTGTCAAGAATTGTGGGTAGATCTCATCTTCTTACAATATTTGACTCCAATGTCATATGACCAATCAAACTCTTGATGTTCAAGCAAAAAGATCAGCCTCATCTTCTTCCCAAGATTTTACTTTACCTTCATCCTCAAATTTCGTTATGTCATATGACCAATCAAACTCTTAATGTTCAAGCAAAAATATCAGCCTCATCTTCTTCGCATGATTTTAGTTTACCTTCATCCTCAAATTTGATTATGTTCATGAGTTCATTCACTGATTCCATATATTTGATACACAAATCGATTCGTTATTCCATTGGAATCAAGATTTTGTTGTTCATTCTCACTGTCTTGGAGAGTGGGTTCGAATTCAATGTAGTCATCATGATCAATCAATCTCTTCTAGAATCAAACTTTCCGACTCTCTTTTCATTAAGAATTCCAACATCCTTTAAATACTTAAAAATCCATGGAAAACGTTTTGAAAAACATAACAATTATAAATTCAAAATAATACATAACCAATTTGATAAATTTGATTTCTTTTTAGTTTCTTAGTTGAAATTTATAAAATAAAATGAATCTAGACAAACAAATATGCTGATTTGTATCATTTAAGAGGTTTTTAGAAAACCAGATTTGAAAACTAAAGTATTTATTCACCACTTAAATCCTCCCTAATGGAATTATGGAAAAGAAGATGATTATATAGAAGAAACGCACTATTCCAATTTTCAAGCCCTTCCATTAGTGGGTATTTTGATGAAAAGAAATCAATGATAACTTTTCCAAGGATCGGAAACTTGACAATTGCAAACACATACACTAATGCCAAAAAAAACATAAAATAACGGCTGCAAAAGTAAAGTTTCACGTAAATAAAGTTAAGGGAAATCTTCAGAAAAGTCATAAAATTTACTTCAATATATGAAAAAGTCTCGAACTAAATTTTGTTTATACAAAAGCATATAGTACTGGCTAAAACTTCGATAAAACCCTTTTCGGCCAATTTCGCAGATTTAAGCGGTATTTTGTCTTTTTCGTTAGTTTAATCAAAATTTTAGGACTTTTCCAAAAATTACTAGATAACCAAAATATTAGGATTTTCTGAAAATTACCATGGAATTAATTGATACTGTTATTAACAAATCATTTAGAAACATAACAAATAAATTAGCGGTCTAAGTACTCCTCTATGGTTTCCTGATTACTTCAAAGTCTTTACATTCGTTAATTGCATCGTTGTCGATATAATAGTGAGATGTACTTAGCGAATGTTCATCTAAAGCTAGTGTTACTCTTATGTTGTTTAAGCTAACTACCACCCAACATCCGTACCTCATATGGTAATAACCATTAGCTAACACATATATATTAAATGTGAACAAATGAACTGTTGTAACGCCCTGATCCTCAGGTATTACTAATGATATTTTGGTTGTCTTTTTAGTACCTACTCGGCGAGTTGGCCTCCCTACTCGTCGAGTAGCAGCGGGTTTGCCAGTGAACTTTAATGATCTACTCGTTGAGTTCGCTGTGGGACTCGACGAGCCGATATGAGAGATGAAACCCTAAACTTTTGGGCCTTGCACCCTATTTAAAGGGTCATAAGCCTCCCATAGCCTCCCCTTTACAGTTCTTTTCCTCCTAAAGACCCCTTATTCGAGTGTGAGTGTGTTCTTGGTGATTTAAGCTTGAAGGAAGGATTTGGTGAAGGGAGCACTTGAGGAAACAAATTAGAAGAAGCAAAGGACTCGTGGGGATTCAAGATCTACCTTTGTGGAGCACTTTCTAAAGGTATTAAGCTGTTCCTTGGCTCATTCCTTCCAAAACCCTTTTGTGCATGGATTCTAGGAAAGGACTTTTGTGTTTAAGCCAAGATCTGGAGTTGTAACTTCAGATCTGGACTCCTTTTGACCTGGAGATGCATAAAGTTATCCATTTAGCCTAGCATGAGCCTCCCCTCAAGTGTATGACTCAATCCCAAGCTTAGATTTGCTATTTTAAGGCCTTAAAGCCTTGCATGCATGTAAAGTTTGCAAATTTATGTGAAAAGCATGCATCAGGAGCCTAGATCTGTAATTTGGAAGCATTGCATGGCTCCAAGGAGTCTGTATGGCTCGAAATCTGATATGACTCGACGAGTTTAATGGGGAGACTCGGCGAGTCATATGAAGATAGGCATGGACTTGGCGAGTTGGATGAACAACTCGGCGGCCCCGATGAACATTTCTATGAACTCGACGAGTTGGATGAACAACTCGGCGAGCCGGATGAAGATTGTCTAGAACTCGACGAGTTAAAGGAACAACTCAGCGAGTCAAGTAAGATTCCCCAATTGATTCGATGGTCATGAACGTGTCGAGTGGCAAGCAAGGAAACCCGATGAGTGGACCTTAGATTATCAGTCAAGACCGTATGAACTCGGCGAGTTACCTCGATGACTCGACGAGTAGATGTTATCCCAGGAAACTCGGCGAGTCACTAGTTGTACTTGGCGAGTTAGGGTTAACATGGACTGTTGACTTGATCCTAACTGAAGTGGGCCAGGTCGGACTTTAAAGTTAATGACTAGGTATTATATGTCACTTTTAGGTGGTTGAGTTGGAGCAGTTCGTGGGGCATCCAGTCGAAAAAGTATTAGTTCAACATTCGTTTCAGGTGAGTCTTCTCACCATACCTATGGGTCTAAGGCACCAAGGCCGACCCATTATGTGATTACGGTAAATGTGATAGATAGTCTATGTTTGCTTTGCTATGTGATTGCATGTTGTATGAAGACCCCGAGGGGAGCCCGTGGCATTGGATGTAAGACCGTGTGGGGTAGCCCATGACAGTCCTAGGTGAAGACCATGTGGGGTAGCCCATGGCAGTCCTATGTAAAGACCATGTGGGGTAGCCCATGGCACTATTACAGGTTTGATGTATGCATGGTTTATGTGTGATGTGTGTAGCTTTATGGCTATCAGGATATGTGATTGTGTGTGGTATGCTCTGGGAAACTCATTAAGCGTTTTTCTTACAGGTTGTTGATTGTTGAAGGTACTTCGGAGCCTAAGGGTAAAGGCAAGGCGTGATGGCGTGGCGTGTACTCTATCTCTCTTTTGGACGTTTTGGGGATTCTCTGATGATTTCATAAAAACACAACACTGATGTAATGAATGTGATTTGGAAACAAATGTTTTGAAAACTTATGGAATGTGTAATCGGATTACTTATTAAAACGAAAAAATTTCTTGTAAAATTTTGGATGTTACAAATTGGTATGAGAGCCTTGGTTTGAGAGATTCGGATACATCTTCGGACGTGTCAGGACTCAAACTGAGGAAGTGGTAAACGTTTTCAAAAGTAACTTAAAAAGGATTTTTTTAAGCCCAAAAGAAGAGAGTACAACGTGCGTGATCAGCCGAGCTAAGTAAGTAGTTTCCCAATTCGAATAGCTGTGTTATACTGAAAATGAGCTCTGTTGATTATGTGAAATTGCTAAGTGTATGTTAAAAAGAATTATATACGGTTAGGAGTTGCAACCTTAGAATGAGTGATTTTGCCTTATTTCCTTTTCCTTGTTCAGATGTGGTTTTAGGGTAGAATCTCTTCTTCAAAATTCTATTTGATCCTTTATGTGTATAATTTGCATGCGTAATAGAAACCTGTAGTGATTGGTATGATTGTTGTGAGTAGGACAATCATAGGGTATTCAGGGATTAATTCTTGCAAGGACTATGAGTCATAGTTTTTTGATTATGATAGTTTTGGAAGTACTGGGTAAAGCAGGGGGAAAGGTACGGGTAGGTGTGGAAGGTAGTACTGGGCCCATACTATTGGAGGCACAGGACCTGTACCCAAACCCATGTTCTATCTGGGAATTCCAAAGGAACTTGGTATGGGTACTATATCGATGTGGGAATCCTGATCTTTCTGTTTGTGTTATGACAGTTCAGCATGGTGGTTAAGTGATTTGGACCAGGGGGATCAGGATCAGGATCCGGGGGTGGGTCAGGCGGCCCTATCGATGGTATTGACGAGAGGCTGCACGAGCTGATCGCAGTCGGGGTTACGAGGGGTATCCTTGACGCTACCC